TGTTCCATTTAATTTTCTGTGCTGAGCTCATTTTATGAATTGTGGTATCACTTCCTTCATTGCTATTATTTTAGTATTTACTAAATATTTGTGCCTGTTCTCTTTTTAATTTTGATGTGAAGATTTATCATTTTTCTTTGAGGTTACCCTGTGATTTATAATTTTCTTCCCAAGTTTAGAACAGTCAGTTCTATCTTGCAATTGTTTTGACTTCCTCTCCATTTAGAAGTTCTGTAACTATACTACTTTTTCCCTCTCTTTGGTTTGTGGTTGTCCTCATTTGCCAGTTGATGCCTCTGGTTCCCTGTTTACAGTCTTGTAGGCTTATTTACTTTGGATACTTCCATAACTGAGTTGGTTTCTGGGTTATATCATCATATGTGTTAATGGTCAGCTGTTGTTTGCTGTGGTTGCTTCTCTATCCAAAGGACTCCCTTTAGCATCTCTTATAAGGTTGGTCTGGTTTTATCAGATTCCTTTGATTTCTGCTTATCTGGAGATGTCCTAATTTCACCCTCATATTTGAGGGACAGTTTTGGTTGGAAATTTTTTTCTTTCAGGGTTTTATATATACCATCCCATTGCTTTCTTGTCTGCATGGTTTCTACTGAGAAATCAGAGCTTAGTCTTATTGGTTGCCTTTTGTAAGTAACTTTTCATTTTTCCTGTGCTGCTTTCAGGATTCTTTCTTTGTCTTTGGCTTTGGTGAATTTGATGGTGATGTGTCTTGTTGATTTTTCTCTTGGGTCCTATGCTATTTGGGGTTTGTTGGACTTCTTGAATGGATATATTCTTATCTTTCATCATATCAGGGAAATTCTCTTCCAACAAATCTTTGACAATTTCCTCTGTGGTTTTATCTGTCTCTTCCTGTTCTGGAATTCCTTTTATGGTATCCCACATGAACCTTAGGCTTTCTTCATTTGTTTTGATCTTTTTTCTTATTGATATTTTTCCCAAAGAAGTATGGAGGTATTTGTCTTCAATCTCACTAATTCTGCCTTTCATTGATTTGGTTCTACTCCTTTGCCCATTCAATGTGTTATCTATTTCTGAAAATTTAGTACTAATCTTCTGGATTTCTGTCTGTAGATTTTGTGTCATTTCTAATTTTTCATTTATTTTGTCATTTTGTTCTTGTATCATTTTCCAAAATTGTTCTAGTGTTTTCTCTGTGTTTTCCTCAATTTTGTCAGCGTTTTCCTTGATTTGTCTGCCAGTCGTTGAAAGTATCTAAATACAATTCTTTTTAATTCCTTATCAGGGAGTTTCTTCCTCAGGGATGTATTCTAGGTCTCTATCCTGGTCCCTTGTTTCTCCTGCTTTATCTTGCTTTTTATGTGGACTGTGATGGTCTGTTGTTTTTGAGACATTGTCATGTTGTTGTATTTATATTTAATTGGTGATCGTATGTTAGAGTGATTCACCCAAGATTTTAGTTTTCTTTATTTTGTTTGGATATATCTGAGTAAGCAGGGTACTTTGCTCCTCTATTCACCAGTTGGCAGCACTTATGCACTTATCCCGTTTCCTGGTGGGTGTAGTAGAGAATGAGAGTGGGTGTGCAGATCTCTGTTAGCTTTCCAGTTGCCAGCCTCTGGTATGTCTGTGCTGTGGTCAGCAAGTGGAGCCTAGTCTTAGGTCCCTGGAATCTGAACAAGAATGCCGTAGCTTTAAATATAAAAAATGGCCGCCACTTGTAAATGTTCAAAATGGCTCTGCCTTCTGAATAGCTGAAAGTCCACAGCTCAGTTTGTTTCCCTTTTGCTGTTTCCCTTTTTAGTTATCAGCCACCAGCACAGTTGTTCATGCAGCCCTTGGTGAGCAGGGCTGAATTTTAGGTTAATTCTCAGGTCCTAACACCACTTGGGGAGCTCTGGTAGTATAATGCCTACAACATTTGACTGCTAACTGGAAGGCTGGTGGTTCAAACCCACCAGCCATTCCTTGGAAGGAAGATTGGGTAATCAAATTCCCTAGAGATACTGCCTCAGAAACCCAAGGAGGGATTGCTAAGAGTTGTAATTGACTCGACGGCAGGGGGTGAGAACACCACTTGGAAATATTCAAACTGTCTGTGCTGTCAGGATAGCTGATAGTCTGCAGCTCTGTTTGTCTCCTTACTCACTGTTTTCATTCAGGTTCTTCTACTAGTTGGTGTTTAGTCCACTTCTGTATCCTTCCTTTCAAAGCTCAGGGCTCCAGGATTATCTTCTGTATTTGTATCAGTTGGTTTCTCTTTTCTTTGTTGGAGAGGGTCTGTGTAGCTCGTCTGCCTATTCTGCCATCTTACCAGAACTCAATCATATTTAATTAACATTCTTAAGAAGTATACCCTTCGGCAGCCAACCTTGAACCAAAGCCCCACGAAGTCAGTCATTGACTTTTTCTTCTCTGATGTTGTAGCTCAATAGGGCCCCAGGGTGATAAGTTTTTTGCTCAGCTACTAATCAAAAGATTGGTAGTTCAGACCCATCCAGTCCCTGGAAGAATGTCCTGGCAATTTGCTCTTATAAAGATCACAGTCAGGAAAACCCTGTGAAGCTCAATTCTACTCTGTAACACATGGGATCATCATGAATCAGAATCAACTCAATGGCAGCAAGGTTTCTTTTTTTTAAAATAGTCCAGTTAGACATACAAAATCTTTCAACTTCACACCCAGGACTCTCTGCAGCCTGGTTCTGATTTATCTTGCCAACTTTGTGTCTCATTGCTCCCCTGCCCACCTTATCTGCCACCACAAAAGGACTTATTGCTCTGAATCTGTTTTGGATCATGCTGTTTCCTGGGCATTGTTCATCTTTCCTGGAATTACAGTGCTTTCCTCTTCTTCCCCTGTCTGAGTTTAACCTATCTTCCATTAGGGTATTTTTTTTTTTTTTTTTTTTTTTTTAATGTAAGAATTTCTATATTTTACCTTTGTCAGATGTTGGAAGAAAATTTATTCTTTTCTAGTTGTAGCCAAGGTCATCAGTGAGAACCTTAAAAAAAAAAAAAAAAAAACTCACTGCCGTCGAGTCAGATCTGACTCATAGTGACCCCTCCTTGGGTTTCTGAGGCAGTATCACTACGGAAGTAGATTGCCCAGTTGTCCTTCCAAGAATTGGCTGGTGGGTTTGAACTGCCAGCCTTCTGGTTAGCAGTCAAATGCTTAGGCACTATGCCACCAGAGCTCCCTTAAGTGAGAACCTAAAGATAATTTTATTTCCTCTATTTGAAGACTCTAGTGATTTTTGTTAAGAGGTACCTTTAATTGAAGTATACCATTGATTTGAATTCTGATTCAATTTCAGAAGTCTCTAGCGTGGCATCTCTGACTCATGGTGACCTCATGTGTCTCAGAGTAGAACTGTGCTCCATAAAGTTTTCAGTGGTTGATTTTTCACAAGTGGATCACCAGGCCTTTCTTAAGGAGATTCCACCCCTCTGGGTTGACTCAAAACTGCCAACCTTTCGGTTAGCAACCAAACTAGTGCATTAACCATTTGCACTACACAGAGACTCCTTAGAAATATTAGAATATGAAAAAAATGTGCATCTTTAATGAAGAAAAAAAGGTGGTATCTCTTTATGTGGCTTATTGTAAAGAATATATTCATTTATTTTTCATGTCTTGTAAATATACATTGCTAACTTGCTTTTAGATAATTGTCTGATTTGGGGGATGATGATAGATGATTATAATCATTTTACTGAAGTAAATTAAATTAACTATTAATAATTAATTAACATTGATATGTTATCCATTGACTATGCCAATGTCTGTTCCTGTTAAAGACTTGTTATTTAAATAAACTGTTTTCATTTTTTGTGGGGGAAATTTTTCATGTGTTGAACATATTGTCAGATCACACATTAAAAGGTGTAGTTTGAATATTTTTAAAAACCAAAGCCTTTTATTTATTTACACTTTTGACTGCCAGTTCTCAAGAGAATATTCAAAATAGACTATAAAAAAAATGATTACATGTTTGAGTAATTTCTCTGGCACTTAAGGTTCTTAATTTAAGCCTGCATAGGCACTCCATGATGATCCCTGTTTTGGTTACTTCATGCTGCTCTGATAGAAAATGTCACAAGTGGATGGCTTGAACAGAGATTTATTCTCTTACAGTGTTGGAGGCTAGAAGTCTGAGTTCAAAGTGCCAAGCTTGAGGGGCTGGGTGAAAGTCCCAAACCTTGGTTAGCAACCAAACTAGTGCATTAACCATTTGCACTACACAGAGACTCCTTAGAAATATTAGAATATGAAAAAAATGTGCATCTTTAATGAAGAAAAAAAGGTGGTATCTCTTTATGTGGCTTATTGTAAAGAATATATTCATTTATTTTTCATGTCTTGTAAATATACATTGCTAACTTGCTTTTAGATAATTGTCTGATTTGGGGGATGATGGTCTGCTCCCAGTATATAAGGAGAAGCTTTGGAAATGGTCTGCAGCCTTTGGCCACCCTTGAATCCTACATGTAGCTGAGTCATTGTTCAGCAGCCTACCATGTTGTCTGCCGATCTTGGGACTGTTAATGGACCTGAATTAGTGGCCTGCTCTTGCTCCCAGCCCACTGAAGCTGGAGGCATGTCTTCACTCAGGTGGCTGCTGACTGCTGAGGCTGATGAACCCAAGGTTGACGAGTAAAATGCCACAGTCCCAAAATTATCAGACCACACAGCAGGCCACTAATTCAGGTCCATTAACAGTCCCAAGATCGGCAGACAACATGGTAGGCTGCTGAACAATGACTCAGCTACATGTAGGATTCAAGGGTGGCCAAAGGCTACAGACCATTTCCAAAGTTTCTCCTTATATACTGGGAGCAGACCATGTCCCTAAAGCAGCTACTCAGCTACTCACGGCAGATTCCACCATGGAACTGATTGCCAGTCTCATCGTGGGGAATAACTACAACCAGCTGCCCAGCCACTCAAAACCAGGTCCAGCCAAGTTGACACATAACCTTAACTACCACAACCCCTTTCCTCTTTTCTCTCTTGGTAGAACCTGGGAGCACTGTTCTCCATTCGGTTTGTGGGGCTTTCCCTGGCCTGCAGCTACTTAGGCCCACAGGATGGTCGGCCCCTCTGTCACTGGGCAGTTGACAGGTAAGAGAATGTTCAGATTCAGTAAGAGAATTAATGTGTTCTTATTTGAGTACGGAGCTTTGAGGCTCTGTATTAATAAATATGTATGTGACTTTGAGGTGGCATATCAATAAACATAAATTTATAAATACATACATAACTTTGAGGCTATATGTTAATAAAATTGATTCCACTACTCTGGATGAGTTGCCTGGCCAGTGTCAGCCACCGTATTATGTGCTTTTACACATCTGTATTTTTAACCCTTAGTCTAGATAGGCACTCTTCAGAGATGTCCTCCTTTAGCAGCATGAGGGGGTAAATTGGCAGCTCAGTTTAGGCATTGTCAGTGACAGGTACTTGTGTAGGATGTTTAAGTAAGTCTCTGGGGCTGTGATGGGAGACTTGACCTGTGTCCCTGCAGTAATCAAAATCCTCAGAGCTTGCAAGCTCCCAATGGAGTGAGGGGAAAGGAATAAGAGGCTATCACAGGACTAAGCCTTCAGCAGACTTAGCAACTACACAGCCTTAGTCAACACAATATGTAAGAGACAGTTTTGCTCTATAAATTAGTTTCTCCATTTGTAGGCCTCCCACCCTCTTCCACTGCGGAAAGAAAGGATATGGAATCTTGAAGCAAGCTCTGTCTTTAGGCCAAGATACCTGGTTTATAGTCAATTTGTGTATTTCTATTAGGAAGATCAGCTCTGGGGCTAGAGGCAGACTGATGAGCCTGTAGAGCTGTGGGCGGGGTGCTCTGTCTTTCCTGATGGGCTTCCTTGATGTCTCCTCAGGGCTCTGCACCTCAGGAGGCCGGGTGGTCCTGCACATGTCAAGCTGGCTGTGGAATGGGATAGCTGTGCTAAGGAATGGTGAGTTCAACCAAATTGCCTCCAGCAGAGGAGACACGGATCCTCCCTACACGAATCAATCTTCCCTGAACCCAGTTTTGCCCCAGCGTGAATGTAAAGCAGTATGCAGTGCAGTCCATGCCTTGAGAAGCCCTAGGGAGAATGATGATGATGATGATGATGATGATGATGATGATGGTGATGGTGGTGGTGCTGGTGGTGGTGTTCATAGTGGTGGCACTGGTGGTGGAAAATAATTATGTAGCGCTTACCCATTTCTCTAAGCACTTTTGTTGCTGTTGTTAGTGCCATCGAGTTGGCCCCAATTCATAGCAAACCCAGACAGAACAGAGTGAAATGCTGCCCAATTCTGTGCCATCCCCATGATCAGCTGCAGAGGGGACATATGTGTGACCCATGGGGTTTTCACTGGCTGATTTTTCAGGAGTATTTAAATGGCTAGGTCTGTCTTTCTCATCTGTGTTAATTTGGGAACTCTGCTGAAATGTGTTTAACATCACAACAACATGCAGCTCTCCACTGACAGGTGGTTGGTGGCTGTACATAAGTGTATTGGCCAGAAATCGAACTTGGATCTCACACGGAAGGTGCAGATTCTACCATTAAACTACCATTGGCCCCCTGAGCACTATCCATATATGTATGGTATCTATTTAGTTATTAGTCTATTTAGTTTTTGTTACACCTGATAAAGTAGGTACTATTATAATCCACGTTTCTCAGATGTGGAAACTGAGACACAGAGAAGTTAAGCAATTGCTCAGTCACAGAGCTTAGACATGGCAAAGCTGAGATTTGAATCTAGACTGGCATGAAGCCATGCTTTTTTCTTTTTCTTTTTTTTAATTTAAAAAAAAAAAAATTGTGATTTGGGTGAGCAAATTTATTTTCCATACAGCATTTCATACACATGTTGTTTCATGACATTGACTGCAATTCCTCACGATGTAATAGCTCTCTTCCCACTTCCTCCCTGTAGTTACCTCTTCCCTGTGTCCTTCCCTCCCATGCACCTCCACCCCTCAAGCTGTCTTCCTGTGCAAACACTGCCCTTCTATTCTCCCATGATTGATCTCTCCAGGGAGTGTATCTACCTAATGTAAATGTTCACCCCATATGCCTGTCTGTTGTTTGGCTGGAAGCCACAGGAGTGAGTTCAGTTCCAGACCTCAAGGGTAACTAGGGACTGTAGTCTCAGGGGTCCCACCAGGCTCTATCAGACCAGCAAACCTGGTCTTTCTTTCTTTTTTTTTTTTTTTTAATGATTTTGAGTTTTGTTCCACATTGTTCTCCCACTTTATTCAGGATCTCCTGTACTGATCCCCTTCCAAGTGGCTGACAGTGGTAGTTGGGCACCATCTAGTTCTTCTGGCCTCATGGTCATATAGGGTGAAGATTGTATGGTCTACCAGTCCCTTGGACTAATTGTTTCCATGCATCTTTGGTTTTCTTCATTCTCCTTTACTCTGGACAAGGAAAGATCATTGTTGTATCTAAATGGCCACTTGCAGGCTTCTAAGATCCCAGTCACTACTCACCAAAATAGGATGTAGAATAGTGTTTTTATGTAACATGTTATGCCAATTGAGCTTGATGTCCCCTGTGGCCATGGTCCCAAGCCCACAAGTCCAACTACTCATTCCCTCGGGGTAGCTGTCTGTGGCCAAGAAGCCACCACGACTTTGCCCCTTGTCAGCTCTACTATACACCTGGGGATTCTTACAGCACATACAAATGTATGAAGAAACATCATCTGTCAACACTATACATGGTCATAGGCATACTCACCCCACCTAGACCTACCTGATCATTCAGCCTGTCCACCCATCTCTCCACCCGTTGATCAAATGAAGCCATGCTCTTAATCATCATACCTGGCTACCTCTATTACAATGACCACATCAGTCTTACTTTGCATAGGGCCTTGTTCAGTCCAACAAATACTTAACTGATCTTCTTTGAGATGCCTGGCCCTGTGTAGGGGAAGAAAGACAAAGACGAATAAGCCAAGGACTTGGTCTCTCAATGAGCCAGTCAGGGAGACAGATAACTCCAGCAAAAAGAAGTGAGTGCTAAGTCAGATGAATGAGATACCCTAGGAATCCCCTGGATGGGCACCTTAGCCTCACCTTGGGATGCTTTCTTCCCTGTTGATTGTAAAGCCACAGATAAAACCACCCTTGAGGGTGAGAAGCCCTCCGTGCCCACTGACTTTTCTCTTTGTGCAGCCTGTTTGGGAACGTCCAGAAGGAACAGGTCCAGGATGCAGAGAGTGTGTGGCGGCAGCAGCAGGCACACCAGCAGCCCAGCTGTACCCTGGACGAGTGTTTCCAGTTCTACACCAAGGAGGAACAGGTCCCGGCCTGGGTCCATGTGCTGCTGGGAAAGGGGCTGGCTGCTTTGTGGTAGGTTGGTCATTTGCCAGGGGGCCTCACAGTCCTGGTGGCTTCCTTTGCAGCTGACCCAGGATGATGCATGGAAGTGTCCCCACTGCAAAGTCCTCCAGCAGGGGACAGTGAAGCTGAGTTTGTGGACTCTGCCCGACATCCTCATCATCCACCTCAAAAGGTTCTGCCAAGTCGGGGAGAGAAGAAACAAGCTCTCCACTCTGGTGAAGTTTCCACTTGCTGGCCTCAACATGGCCCCTCACGTGGCCCCAAGAAGTACTGGCCCTCAGCCCAAGCCAGGTCCTTGGCCTTCCTGGAAGCAGCCGGCCTGCCTGCCCAATGGCTACCCCCTGGACTTCTTATATGACTTGTATGCTGTCTGCAACCACCACGGCAGTCTCCAAGGTGGGCATTACACAGGTGAGCCTTGTCCCTTGATGCATGGCAGGCGTGACCACTTGTTGTGGCTGTAGGTCCAAGCCCTGGGTTACTGTGAGAAGAGCTAGGAATGTTCAGCTCACGTAGGCACTCAGCTTGAGCTGAGTCTTCACTGCACACCCAGGAACATGTGGGAGGGAGGAGACCTGACCCAAGCTGCAGAGCTAGGTTTGTGGTTGGAAGATAGAGTTAATTCCAGCTTAAATTTTACCTTTTTTTTTTATTGTGATGTGGGTGCAAATTTACAGAGCAGAATTTGTTTTACATTCAACAGTTCGTGTACATTTGGTTTCACCCCCAATTACCTCCCCAACCCTAACCCATTCTCCTCCTCTCCCTTCCCAGTGACCCCCCTATCCCTGTGGCCTTCTTAGTTATGCACTCCTGTCTATCCAACATTTCCTCTCTGTGAATGTTGCCCCTGTGGTGCCCCATGGCTGATTGCTCCAAGATGCATCTCTGTAGAGTAGGTGGGTGCATTGCCCTGGATTGGATGTTCTGCATATAAGTCTTAGTATTGTTGGCCTGAGAGCCAGCCCTTGGGAGTGAATTTTATGCCAGGCCTGAAGTGTATCCCAGGGCCAGAGTCTTGGGGGTCCCACTAGACTCCATCCAACTAGTAATTCTGGTCGTTACTGTTTTTGAATTTTGTTCCATGTTTTTCCTCACACTCTATCCAGCATCTCCAGTGGTTGACATTGGTAGCTGAGCACCATCTGGTTCTTCTGGTCTCGAGGTCCATCATATCCTAGGGCTGATTGTTTCCAAATGTCCTTGGTTTTCTTCACTTCGGACAAGGGGAGACTATTAGCTGCATCTTAGATGGCTGCTTGAAAGCTTTTGAGACCCCAGTTGCTACTCACAAAGTAGATTGTGGAACAAGATTTTTGTACATTATGTTGTGCCAATGGAGCCTGGTATACCCCAGTACTATGTCCTGAGTCGGCAGATCTTGTGATTGTCTCTCCCATGGTGTCTGTCTGGCTGTCTCTGAGGGATTGCTTCAGGTCTGTCTTCTGTTACATCTATAATGATTGTAGTTATTTTGTATCACTAGTATCTGTACAAGATTATCCCCAGCTGAATCTATCATTGGTCTAGAGTATATTCCTGTTCACCACCCCCCATCTGATCTTCTCAGTTGTCTATGTATTTATCTGTAGCCTGGTGTTTTAGTTACCTACTGCCACTCTGACAGAAATATACCACAAATGGGATGCTTGAACAAACAGGAGTTTATTCTCTTATAGTTTGGAGGCTTTAAGTTCAAGTTCAAAGTGCCATGCCCTAGGGGCTGGGTGAAAGCCCCTCAACCTTGGGCTTCAGCTCTGCCTCCTGCTCCCGGCCCACTGAAGCTTTTCTTCACTCAGACAGCTACTGGCTGCTGAGACCGACAAGCCCAAGGGTGACAAGTAAAAAGGCAGTCCCAATGTTACCAAACCACACAGCAGGCTATTAATTCAAGTCCATTGAACGTCCCAAGGTCGGCAGAGCATGGCAGGCTGCTGAACAAGGACATGGCTATATTCAGGGTTCAAGTGTGCCATAAGCTAGAGACCATTCCCAAAGCTGTTTCTTACATACAGGAAGCAATCCACATCCCTAAAGCAGCTGAGTAGCTGCTTATGGTAGATCCCACCATAGAGTTGATTACCAGGTTCATCATGGGGAATAACTACCACTAGTTTCCCAGTCACTCAACCAGGCCCAGCCAAGTTGACATACAACTTTAATTACCACACCTGGTATTTGGTGTTAATGGTAATGCAGTATTGTGGATATACTGGTATTAGCCTATCATCTATATCTTATGAGCACAATTTGGTGTCCTCCCTTTTCCCAATGTCATCATGCTGATCACAGACTCTTCATACCATCCCTCTCCTTACCCAACTCAGCATGTGGCCCCTAACTAGTCTGAAATGTTCCCCGCCTCTTCCCTCCCATCCCTGGTAACCTACAAAGTGAGTTCCCTTCCCTAAGCAAACCCTTCCTTGACTTTTTACAGTAATGGGCTCATATAATATTTTTCCTTCTGCAGTTGACTTATTTCACTCAGCATAATATCCTCCAGGTTTATCCACACTGTGAGATGATTCACGTATTCTTCATTGTTCTTTGCATAGTATTCCATTGTGTGAATGTGCCATAATTTGGTTATCCATTCATCTGTTGATGGGCATTTAGGTTGTTTCCATCTCTTTGCTATAATGAATTGTGTTGCGGTAAACATGCACATACATATGTCTGTTCGTGTCCTGCCTCTCACCTCTTTAAGATATATTCCTAGTAATGGAATTGCTGCTTCAAATGGTATTTCTGTTTTCAGTTTTTTAAGGAAAAGCCATACCATTTTCCACAATGGTTGTACCATTTTACCATCCCACCAGTATGAGAGTTCCAATCTCTCCTCAACCTCACCAGCATTTGTTATTTTCTGTCCTGATGAACTTTGCTATTATTGCTGGGGTGAGATGATATCTCATCATTGTTTTGATTTGCTTTTCTCTAATGGCTAATGATCGTGAGCAATTCCTCATGTGTTTGTTGGCTACCAGCAAACCGTCTTTAGTGAAGTGTCTGTTCCTGTCCCTTGCCCGTTTTTAAATTGGATTGTCTTTTTGGCATTGAGGTGTTGAAGTTTTCTATACATTTTGGAGATAAGTCCTTTGTCAGATATGTCATAGGTAAAAATTTTCTCCCAATCTGTAGGGTCTCTTTTTACCCTTTTAGAGAAGCCTTTTGACACATATAAAAATTTAATTTTTAAAAGGTCCCAGTCATCTAGCTTCTCTTCCACTTCCTGTGCATTCTGGGTTATGTTTGATAGTCTATTTATGCTGTAAATTAGGGCCCCTAGATTTACCCCTTTGATGAGCTTTATAGTTTGGGGTTTTACATTTAAGTCTTTGATCCAACTTGAGTTTGTTTTTGTGTATAGGGTGAGGTATGGGTCTTGTTTCATTTTTCTGCAAGTGGAGATTCAATTTTGCCAGAACCATTTGTTAAAAGAGGCTATCTCTAACCCATTTAATGGGTTTTGGTCCTTTGTCAAAGATCAGCTGTCTATAGATGGATAGGTCTATTTCTGGGTTTTCGATTCTATTCCATTGGTCTATCTGTCTATCATTGTACCAATACCACACTGTTTTGACTACTGTGGCTGTATAGTAGATTTTGAGATCTGAGAGTGTGAGACCTCCCACTTTGTTCTTCTTCTTCAGTAGTGCTCTTCTTGTCCAAGGTCTCTTTTCTTTCCATTATGAAGTTAGTAGTTTTTCCATATCCTTAAAAAATGTTGATGGTATCTGGATCAGGATTGCATTAAATGTGTAGATTGCTTTGGGTACTATTGATATTTTCACAATATTCAGTCAAGTGCCTAAGACACTTGACTGCTAACCAGAAGGCTGGCAGTTCAAACCCACCAGCCACTTCCTTGGAAGGAAGATGGGGCAATCTACTTCCATAGTGATACTGCCTCGGAAACCCAAGGAGGGGTTGCTATGAGTCGGGTCCAACTCAACAGCACATAACAATAACAACAACAAATCCATGAATAAGGCAGGTTCTTCCATTTACGTAGATCCCTTATAGTTTCTTATAATAGTGTTTTATAGTTTGTTTTTTATAGGTCTTTTGTGTCTCTGATAAGATTTATTCCTAGATATTTTATCTTTTTGGTGGCTATTGTAAATGTTATTGTTTCCCTTATTCTTTTTCAGAGGCCTCTTTGTTGATATAGAGGAATCCAACTGATTTTTGTATGTTGACCTTGTATCCTGCCACTTTGCTGAACCTCTCTATTAGTTCCAGTAGTTTTTTTGCTGAGTCTCTTGGCTTTTCTATGTACAGGAGCATGCCGTCCACAAACAGATAGCTTTCTAGAAACTTGTCTCTCTCTTCTAGCTTCTCGAATCTGTTGGAGTACAATTCTTCATAATATTCTATCAATATCTCTTTTATTTCAGTTGGTGATGTTACCCTTTTCATTTATTATTCTTATTATTTGCATCTTGTCTTCCTTTTGTTAGATTTGCCAACAGTTTGTCAATTTCGTTAATCTTTCAAAGAACCAGCTTCTTGCTTTGTTGATTTTTCTCTTGTTTTTTTTTTTTTTTTCCTGTTTCATTTATTTTTGCTCTGATCTTTATTATTTCCTTACTTCTGGATACTGTCGCTTTCTTTTGTTGCTCTTTTTCTAATTGTTGGAGTTGTTGAGTTAGAGTGTTGATTTTGTTTCTTTCTTCTTTTTTGATGTGTGCATTTATTACTATAGATTGACCTATTGAGTACTGCTTTTGCTGTGTCCCATAGGTTTTGGTCAGCTATATCTTCATTCTTGTTTGTGTCTAGGGATTTTTTAATTTCACACTTTGTTTCTTCTAGTTTTGGGGTAGTGTATTATTCAACTTCCACGTTTGATGTTTTTTTCCTTGATCTTCCTATTATTAATTTCTAATAGCATTGTGATCTGAGAAGATGCTTTGTAGTATTTCAATGTTTTTTAATTTATTGAGGCTTGTTTTATGTCCTAACATATGATCTATTCTGGAGAATGATCCATGTGCCTGGAGAAGAGTGTGAATTGTGCTTTTGTTGGGTGGAGTGCTCTGTATATGTCTGTGAGGTCGAGTTGGTTGATTGTGTTGTTGAGTTCTTCTGTATCTTTGTGGAGTTTTTTTCCTTGAAAGTGGTGTGTTAAAGTCTCCTACTAGTATTGTAGAGTTGTCTATTTTCCCTTTCAATTCAGTTAATATTTGCTTTGTGTATTTTGGTGCACTTTCATTGGGTATGTGGATACTTATTATGGTAATGTCTTCTTGGTCAGTTGATCCTTTCAGTATCATATAGTGTCCTTCTTTGTCCCTTGTGCTGTTTTTCACTTGAAGTCTATTTTATCAAAAATTAATGTTGCCACTCCTGATCTTTTTTGGTTACCATTGGCTTTGCATATTTTTTTACACCCCTTAACTTTTCAT